AGTTGATATCATGTGAACAGTCGGGGTGGCGTCCACGGCCTAAATGAGTCCATCCGTGGGCTGGTTGCCTTCTTCCTGAAGCAACCGCTAATGATCCCTACTGGTAGAGGAAGCAGCTAAAGGCGGGCTAATTACACCTCTTGACAACAACCGGACTTGCGACGATATCAACTTAACGAATCGCCTCAAATTTGGAACAAGAAATAGATAATCCACGTATGTGGCTATCTTACCTGTGCTGGTGCAAATCCAGTCAACGTAGCTCCTCACATCAACGAAGTTACTTTCTCTTACTGAATTTTTCCAAAATTTGTTTCGATTACGTGGAAAAAAGTCAAAAGAAGGATTAAAAATTTGCCATATTTCTCCGCAAATGGTACACTGCAATTCGGCCATATTGTGCTCGTTATTCCGACAACAGAGAATCTGTTTTCGCGATCATTCTGAACCAAGGGCCCGCCACTGTCGCCCTGCAAATCTGATTACAGAGAGCGTAATTTTCTGATTATTGTTCAGTTTTCGGTGATGTCAACGGAATGTTCCGTAGAAATAGAAACACGAATCTTCCAAATGTTCCCTTCTAAAGTCAACTTGTATCTGATTGTTCACAAACCTGACATATTGTCTTTTTGAACAACTCGCGTGAAGCTGGGAATTTGATGCAGTGACGCTGTGAGAGTCCATGGAGATTTCCTCCAGCACATCCGATGCGTGCATGTTCTTGTGGGAGGCTGCTAAAGCGTAGACGTAGGAATCAACTAAATGGTATGATGAGAAAAAAATCTCATTCGTGAAAAGTTCACACGAGCGCTCTCGGGAGGTAAACACTAAAACAGCAAGTAAGGAGAGGAGATCAGGGAAAAAGGCGAGTGTATGGTGTCAAGTAGGCCGAGATTGCATTGCTCGTTATAGGCAGCGCACATTATTGCTGACATAGGTGGGCCGTTCACAGTATTCTTGGTATCGAGATGATTTAGCGACGAAGGAGTTTAAATCATGGGTGTGTAGCAACAGAATCGTCCGCTGCAGCTCGCTGCAAGGACGTGGCCTGCGACATCCTTGCGGCGAGAATACCAGTCATGCGTTTGCCCCTTTGAATAGGTATTAAAGGGAATGTAAAGATTGACATCACCGTATTGATATCATATCGAGTCTTGTGCTCAGATAGGGTTAAGTTTTTAGTTTTTCCTTTGTTTTTCCATAGAGTAGGAAAAAGTTCATTCAGAGCATGAACTTCATTAGAGTCTCCACAGTTGCTCTGGGGTGTCATCTTTTACAGCGTCTCACAAGAAAACTTGACCATTCATGTATCAAATGTTGACGCTGACGATTGCGCGAGTCATGTGTATCACAAAAACATAGGAAGAATAAGAGCCTTACGTGATTCCTTCTGTAGTTGTTTATTCCCTGAAGTTGCGTCTATGGATCCGCAAACAACTGTGTGTTACTATCTCGAAAAACATCCTTAGATTTTCATTTATTAATGAAATATGGCAAACGTTGCGGGTGAACGCTGTAGTAAAATTGCTCCAATCGCAAAGCTATAAGCTAGCAAATGCACGTCAATGAGCCGCTGTGTCATTCGCCGCGCGACACGCCGCATGCGGCGAGCGCTGCCCCGGACGATTGTGCTGCACGTATCCCTTTAAATCATTAAGGTAACGATACTCCCCAAGGGTGCGAATACAAAATTTTATTCAGTTATCATCAATGCTATCCTAGTTATCCTTGGTAAAAGAAGACCAGAATGACTGATGCGGCAAGGTTGAGAAAATGGTGGCTGATTGAAAAAATAGAAAAAATTGAAGAGAAAATTGAAAAGTGATCAGTGTTATCACAAGAATGCTGAGTTGTGGGCAAAAGTCGGACCACGGGCGGGACTCGAACCCGCATCTTCTGCTTACCGGGCAGTTGCGTTACCACTTACGCTACCGGGGCCACTTTTGACCTCTCAGCTCAATGGCTATTTGTGCCATTGCCTTCGAGCACTCACACGTTCAACGTGATGAGCCGGTTAGCCGATATCTTTGTGATAACTTTCGTATCGCGCACTGCGGCGTTAAACAGCAGTTATCTAACAATAACAGCTTGAAACTTAAAAAGCCTTCAGCCTTGCGGTTCACTGCCGATATCGGCTAACCGGCTCATCACGTTGAACGTGTGAGTGCTCGAAGGCAATGGCACAAATAGCCATTGAGCTGAGAGGTCAAAAGTGGCCCCGGTAGCGTAAGTGGTAACGCAACTGCCCGGTAAGCAGAAGATGCGGGTTCGAGTCCCGCCCGTGGTCCGACTTTTGCCCACAACTCAGCATTCTTGTGATAACTTTCGTATCGCGCACTGCGGCGCATGATTTCTGCATATGACGGGGCGCGGAACGCGGCGCGGGCTGCGGCGCTGCCAAGGTGCCATTTCTCCACCAGTGATGTCATCCGCCTCGATGCAGGTGATGGGGAGTCTGATTGATCTGCTATGGCTGCTCTCTGACCTAACGTCACGCCGCACGCCCCATCGTTTGCGAGACTCTATGAACACTTGCGGTTTCGACCATGAAGATGGAAAGGCTCCTTCTCTGGACAATGACTTAGTCAACGTTTTTCAAAAAGACAAACTTCGTCTCCCACGCATCATATCGTGTGGAACGAGTTCACATTGAATGCACCTGTGACTGTGGACGGAGCATTATGACAGAGCCTGCCACCAAGAAACGTGCGTGGAGTCGAAAACCGGGGAGGGGGAGAGAGAGGAGGGGGGGGGGAGTGATGGAACGCCATCACTGCAAACCAGGCTACTTGCTCGTGTGGAAGAGAAATTTACTTGGCCAGTCATGGAGCGTGAAAATAAGCAGCGTTCATACTTCGCGACAGCAGTGGCGATCGCGGCGATCGTAGCGACCGTAGCAATCGCCGCGATCGTCGGTACAGGTCAGAGCGCGCCCCAAGCGCTATTACTTGGACCGCTCCGAACACTATTAGAAAGAGTCGTCTTGCGTGCTTCTTTTTTCTTTTAATTGTAATTTTCTCTGGTACGAAAGCTTGTTTAATTGTAATTAAAACTTGTTTGATTGTTATCTTCTCTGATACGAAAGCTTGTTCCGACTCAAGGGAAGGTGGACCAAACTTGATGGCTTTTATTTTCTATTTTCTCTTTAAAGGCTGAGCCCGCATTCAAATTTGATGAGTTATGCGGCTCAAATACTTATAACAAGGTAGCAAGTAACCCCTTAGTGAAGAAAAATCAGAAAGAAATCATAGGAAAGGCTCTATATAGAACCCCTTGCTTAACTGAGGTTGTACGTGCTCAAGGCGAAGAGAAGGTGCGGTCGCACGAGTTCTCACTTGTTGATATCAGCTGTTTTCCCTTATCACCTCACTCTCACCACTCGACGTGGAGAGAAGCAGCAGCGAAACAACCGCACCATCAGGTAACCATTAGAAATGAATGGAGGGCGGTGCCAATGATTGTAGGTTGGGCCAATGAGAAGAACGACGGCATCGTGGGCCTCCTCACTCGTTTTTGCGCCGCGAAAGTGGTGCAGTTGTTGCCTCTGCGGACCTGACTACCTGCTCACGAAGGGAGAGGAAAATCTCAACTGAACGCGGACGCTGCCTTTAATTCAAGATAGAAATGAGCTATAAACGTGGTAGACTTCATTATGGCTAAATTTCTTAGTGTTTCTTTTTGGAAGATTAGTGTTGCGATTCCTAGGTGAATGTCATTCTATTTCTTTTTTTTTGTTTGAACTCGACTTGTAAACTATAAATGTTTTGGAAGTTGGAACAGTTTAAGTAATAGGAAATTTTAAGACACTCATATAAAATGAAACAATGACAACAAAAGAAACAAAAGAAACTCACCTATTAAATGAGGTTGCCCTTATCCCGACCTCGAAAAAAGGTGAAACCCCTTCCTCATATTCCAGATCCTCTTAAATATAGAAAGTTTCTAGTTAGTAGCCATCACTAACTAGGGATGGTCGCAGCGGGTTCTTGTACTCTGATTTCGAATCTGCAGAGGTTCGAGGTTTTTTTTTGCAGTTTTGAGGTCACTTTTTTGCATTTTGAGTAATGTCTGAGTCCAGAAAAGACTCAAACGCCTGATGGGTGTCATATTCGTGTTCAGGGAGCAAAATGCTCTTAGGGACAGGTTTAGCCAGATTTAAGGTTTTGACCTAATTTTGGAAAAGTGCAGCAGCAGCGCTCATTGGGTGCCAGTCTCTTGTCGACTGCTTGTCTTCGAACGGAATTTGCTTTTAGATGTCACCAAAACTGAAGCAGTAACAGAATGAATGCAAGATGAGGCTTTGTGCAGGAGAATGTATCTGCAGCTGAATAGGTGTGAACATCAACTGAACTGACCCACGGATGCTTCACTTTTCGAAGTCAAGTCAAAATACCAGACTTGGCTAGAAACTTGTGTGGAAAGGCATTCTTGACCCGCTGAACACGAATATGACACTCGCTGAGCACGAAAACGCCTGTATCGCGCACGACGGGCACCTGTAAGTCCAATCCTTTTCTGCACTACAAGGCTTGCACAAGGTGCCCAAGCGCAGTATAAACGGACGCACACTTGTATTCAGGGCAAGTTTAGGTGAGCACTGAAGTAGTGGTGACGGCAAAATCACTTTTTGCCATATTCGTTCAACTGGCAAAAAAGTTGAACTTAGCAGGGATCCGATCTTATGACCTGTTAGGGCGGAGAAAAATCTCAATAACTCCGTTCAGAGAATCGTTCTGCAAATTTCGAAGGCAGATTTAAGATCAGCGAGCAGAACCACGTCCCGCGAGCTGCGTCCATTACAAATGGCCACTTCGACCTGGCGACCCTAGTAAGAGAAAAAATCTCACAAGTGGATTTCCTCATTCATCAGAGTGAACGATCCAACTAAGTACTAGCATTTGGGCGCGCGCTGTGGCGTACCGAATCGCGGCGATCGCTACGATCGCCGCTGCTGTCGCGAAGTATGAACGCTGCCTAATAGCGCGTCCTTCAGAGCGCTGTTATTCAGCGCGATACATTTTATTATAAGAAAATTTTTTATGCATTGTGAACTCACGGTCTCTCCCATAACCAATTGCAGTCAGTTTCCGCCCTAGATGATCATCCTCGTTTATCATACAGATTGGTGTTCCAACATCGGAAGGAATGTTCCTATCAAGTTCAATGATTGCCAAGTCATTTTCATGCAGGCAAGGATTGTATTGTTCGTGAACGTGAGGCTAAATAAAGTATATGAATTTTTTTCTTGGTCATCTTTCTTGTTACTTACAGGTTTTGTAATACTGAATTTAAGCTGATCATCATTGCACTGCTGCAGATGCTTGCAAGAGCTACTGGCGCGGATGGTGAATTGTTCTGGAGGAGTTTTATCGTAGGCATAACGAATCAGTTCTTTCAGATTAGTAGCCTGATCATCCATAAGAAGTCCCCATGTCATCAACCTGTTTATGATTAGTTCATGCTGATCCACCATAGTAATAGACTGGGAAGAAAGTCTTGTCACTACTGCGATTTTTTTTCTTTGTTATTTTCTAGCTCGGCATAGAATAGAAATTAATCATAGCCTTATACTATCAGCCACTACAGTGCTCCACCTAAGGAGCAGATCAGCAATCATACGAGTCTGACAATCGGCGACCTCTCGGCTAGTGTCATCAAGCTTGCTGATAGTTTTCTCAGCTAAGAAAGCGTCAAGTAGAAGAACAGGTGGTAATACTAGGGATCTACGTCAGGAATTGGTGGGCGTGTTACGGCTTCCCAGTCTTGCTTCTAATTTTTTGGTAAGTCTCATAGCAGTGTAAGGTCTAAGGTCGTCATGAACGAGATACCCCGAAGCTAGTCTCGGTCATTTTTCTCCGAAAGTTCGTTTCTGGAGGTGAGCGGCACAACTTTTAGCGACCATTCTGGCAACGAGCTGCCTTCAGGTCAGCGACTGGTAGCGGTGACCATTGTTCTTACAATGGCAGCTCGTTGTACAGCATGCCCATCGCGTCCCAGAGCAGCACAGAAAACCTTCTCAGAAGTCCATGCCCGACTTGGACTGCCAGAATGAGTCCTTTTCTTGAAATAGACACCGGTACTGTGTGGATTAAAATCGCCAGAGATCTTTTATCTTCACTAAGCAGCCTCCCAGGAACTCCAATTGAGGGCGGAGAAGGAGATCCTGATCAAGGGGAACCGGGGCGCAGCGTGCCATCCGTCCGTATGAGTAATCTATCGAGCCGCCTTTTTTGATGGGCAGGTCGGGCAAACCCAAGACTTCTCTCAAGACTGCGTGTGGTGGCCACCGGATCCTTTTTGATAGCCTCAAGAACGGTTGAGTCTTCCATTCTGTGAGGACGTCCCAACCGAAATTTGCCTTCGAGGATCGTGTTTTCTTTCGCGAAGCGAGCGAACCAGAAGTGGAAGGTTCTGTTAGTAGTGGTGTCCTTCGCCAATGCACTGTTGATGTTGCAACAACTGCCGCCGCTCCTGTGTCGCGGAGCCGGTGACGGAAGATAATAGCTCGGAGATTCCCCTGTGAAACTGAGATCGAAATAAAACCCAGGAAAGAGCAAGCGCCTTCACATATCTCTTGCAAGAAAGCCGAGAGAGTTTTCTACAAGCATAGCATGTAGCGTCATATTCAGACATCAAGAATCGAATGCTGAAAAATTTTTGAAAAATACTGGCAAGACTTTCTTCCCAGCATAATATTACATATAATCCACTGAATAGAAAATATCAACCTCTAACTTCATCGCATATTTTGTTATACTCCTTCTCTGGTTTTTGCTCCACAACGCAGTGAGCAGCCGTCAAAATATGTCGACTGGAGATTTGCACACCAGTACAGTAACCCACTGAAGACATACATATATAAACACAAGTCGCTGAAACGTTAGTGACGCAGTAAGCCACGATGGGCGGTTGCTGCCAAAGTCATTAGTGGAGGGGCCAAGTGGGGTGCGGCTTAATACCCCAGCCCTTGAGCCAATGATGTTGGCAGCCCGCCAGCAGCCATCCTTCCCGCTGCCTTTGAGGAAACAGAGTAAAAAAAACTGTATTGCTCAGAAAACATCCAAAACATATATTTGAAAAAGAACGTATCACTCATACGATCCCCCGCCCTGTTGGAGAATCCACAACGGTGATGTTCCCCAAAGCGAAATCCTGCCTACTTCAGAACACAAATCGTTTCCCCCGCGTCATTCAATCTAGTAACGCTCAACTGAGAACGATAAAAGCGAAAAACATGTAAAAGCCGAATATGGGACAGAAATAGACTCTGAATTTTGGTGGGCGGGTCAACTAGGAAGACTTTAGATCTGCTTGTGCGGGCCGTAGCGCCTTCACTACTAAGTATGAAGCAGCGAAAGTGGAACAGTATCCGACTGCAAACCAGGCTACCCGTACAAGGAAGTACGCCTGCAGATGGCTGCTCGAGCGCTAGACTCTCTCAACTAGAGGGTTTTTCAGTGACTCTTTTTTCCGAGTTTCATTTCATTCTCAAGGCCTCAGTTTGTCTTCAAAGCCGACGTATAAGCACACTTACCGAAGCATCCATTTCAATGGTTCTGTATCTAATAACTGATGCTATCCATGGGTACTTATTCACCGGTACTTTATTACCAGGCATCGATTTCTCCACCGTTCCTTGAAAATAAAAAATCACAGCATCAATTTCACGCAGCGAAAAGCAACATCCACGGTGCCACACTCACCAAGGCTCTTATGGAGACTTCTGATGTGGTGTGGATCTCTCGTATATTTCAGACCTAACTCGTACCTAGTTCACTTTGTACCACCTTTCGCCCTTGAACTATCATCTTCTGTTTCTCGTACCCTGAGCGCAAAGCTTAGCCTTGTGTTATAAACCACTGATCTTACAGGGTGATCGAGTGATTAATATGAATGATATAATGGTCGTTTACACTGGCGACCGACGTTCGCGGAGCGGAGATGAATCATATTAGGCATGGGGTTTTATTAGGTTGTCCCAAAAGTTCGTGGACACTTTCAAACATTTTTTCGAATTAAGTTTATTCCAGTGGGAAGCAATTTTGATCAGCTATATATGTCACCTTCATTGGCAACTTGTTGCCAATCACTACGCAATGTGTGGTTGCCCTGCTTCCAGAAGCCTCTTAGTTCTGTGCCCAGAAAGGCAGCTGGGTCATTTTTGAGGTACTATCAAAAATCGTATTTTTTACCAAGAAGATGGCCGCTGTGGGATTAGTTTAGATGGCGATCGGAAAGAGCTAAGTCAGGGCTACACGAAGACTGTGGTGGAATTCCCCAGCTAAGCTTCGGGATCTCGAGCAGTGTCGTTTTCCAAATGTGTGACCCTGAGCTGTGGTGGAGTAGGCAAACATTGCTCGGTTTTGGGACCAAATGGTAGAGATTTTCCACCCCACTTTGCAGTTGATTACAATAGGGCTCCCTGGTTACCATAGCGTTGGAAGGAGGAATTCCGTTTCGAGAGCGGAGAAAGGTACCCCACCACATACACAGCCTCACCGCCCTACTGGATTGATAGGATTGCGCGATCGGTTCTGCCCTTTCTGGGGATCTAGCCGCTGGCGCTCCCAGGAGTGATTCATCTAGAGGCACCCACTCCATATCCAGTTACAGTGCTGTTCAACCAGCCCGTACAGCGGAAGCGGGAGAGAAGTTGTAGACAGTACCCACATGTGCTCCCCTTGGAGTACTGGTCAACTGATGAGAAAAATTTTGACCGAACTTCAGAACTTTTCTAAGGGAGCGAGGCCTTCTCTCATTTGTGCTTTGGGACCAGTCAAGTGTAAGGACTAGATAGCAAGTTGATTTGTACGAATTGGTTTTAATCAAGGAACACAGTAGGTCCAAATCCAAGGCAGGTGGCCTCCTTGGACGAAGTTTTTCACCCGGATAGAAGTCACTAAAGCGGAAGCAATTGAGCCATTCCAAAGCCGTACTGTGGAAGCTAACATCAAGATCTAAATAAGGGAAATGCCGCTTATGGCTCCAACCACGTTGTGGCTTGGTAGAGATTCATATAGCGAAGTGTGTCGAAAATGATGAATTTCAATTACCGTTTTTCATATGAGAACAGCGACTGCGAGGGACGGTGAAGAAGCTGTGGAATGCTTACCTCACACACTTCCCATAGACCACATAACTGGATCTC